GCTCGTGACAATTATTACATCGTTTTTACCTATATATAGCTTGTTTTATATTTCTAATTGAACTAATTGATGACATCCTAACAGCTAACACAAGACTCATTAGATTTGTGCGACTCTTTATCTTGTTATATCATTGTATATCATTGCGGTGAATTTATGAAATATTCCAAAATTCGAAAATTTCGATTACTACCGGTAATAAGACAATACTGATAAAGTACTAATTTTGGCTGAAATAATCAGCATTCCCAAGTTAGAATGCGTCATTATAATAAATTTCTATGTCTAATGAGATGTATCAAAGTAGGAAAGATGGGTTAGCATGTAGGAAGATGGGTTAAGTGAATTATCAGTCTAGTTCAAAAGTCTAAAAAATTATTTCAAAGTTTGGAATTGATTTGTTAATAGCTTATTTTATAACTTTGTCGTGATATAAGGTGTGTTTTTTGTTCGATTAGCAGACTTGTTTGTCGGGATTGTATTAATAGGTAAATAATTCTAATAATTAAGTTGGCATGGGAGTTAAATTATTATCATAAGGTATCTTAGAGTACAGAAGTAACTAGAATTGATTAGTGTTCAGCCGAATTAGTAGCAAAGATTAGATTATATCATCTGATTCTTAATTTCGAATATAGGGGTTCTTTTTTGATTGGTTTAATATCAATTTATATTGAAATTCTGGCATTTTGAGTATTCGAATGTGCCTATGTAGAGATAGAGCTTTCTATTAATTGTCGCAGCTGATGCTGAAATTCGGACCCATTTTGATATGAAAATTTAAAATTTTTTTGGGGTGTTTTTGTCAGCCTTTTTTTTAGGGTTAGAATTGATAATTAAAGAGTATATGTGAATTTTAGCAGGGTTTATATTTTCAAATTGAGACTCAAATTCAGTTAGTATTTTAATTTCAGATACTTTAGACTAGATTATCGCATTCAGTGTTTCGCAACGAGTACTTGAATTGAAACGCAGGAAGTGTTTAACATTCCGCAATCACGCAATTAAGTAATAATAGAAGGGACTCAATTAAAATTTCTCTATGGTTCAATGAGGATACCCATTTGCAAAACATTAATCTGTAATTTAGCAAAGATTTAATATATTTAATGGATATATAGATAATAACTTATATCAATTATTTTTTCAGAAATTAGCATGTTAGTAAACTTGGCCAATTAAATTAATAAAACTAAATCATGTGATTATACATTAAATATAAAAACATTCGCAACTAATTCACGAAAAAAAATTTCGACGATTTAGATCACTAACCTCGGTCTAAGATAAGAACTCTCCAAAATGAATCCAATAAGCACACCAGACAAAACCTCCAAGTCATTGATTGCAATGAACGTTTCTCTCCTTACCGAATATCAATCTTTGATAGACCGTATATTTGCTTCCATCGCTGCAAATGCAGAAGGAAAACTAACAGAACGACCACCTGTGGACATAATGAAAGATATTGTAGAATTGGACAAAAAAATGCAACAAGGTCTCGATCAAAGTAAGGTGGAGTAATGGTTTTATCCTTTTTTTGGAGTATATATATGAATTAATTCATTTTCATTATATGACAAGCTAACTATTATCTTCGTCCTTTTATATAAAATTCTAAAGTTGAAGAACATCAAAGAGTTTACAAAAAGATTTTACAAGTTATTAAAGAAATTGAGATTGAAAATAATGCAATCATGGAGTTTGTGAATGAATTAAAAAGCGGAAAAGAACAGCTTGAAATATGTTTGGACGCGGCAAATGAAACAATTCAGGCCATAAATTTTGCCTCTGAATGTTTGTATAATAAATCAATTGGATTCTTTTCATTTGATTATTTATTCGTATCACATAATAATCCTTTCTTAAAAATATTAAACTTAGCTTCGGTAACTGCAGATGAGATACTAAAATATGCAAATAGAATCAGTAGCTTTACATCAGCACCACCAAACTATATAGCTGGAACTTTTGCTGAACCTCCATATCCTGATGAATCACGCATGAGGAAAAGCTTTCTGTTTCGACAAGATGCTGATATGATTTTTGAAGAGGGTATGATACATTTTAATTTATCTTTATAATGAATGCAAAAGTAACACTTGTCAACACATATACGGACTTGAAAAATGCAGGATATAAAAATGATGAAGAGGATGAAGAAGAAGAGGATGGTGATGATATTCATTATGCAAAATCTAACTCATTCGGGTCTCCGGAAGCGACGCAGCAAGCAAAAACATTTGATTTTTATTCAACATGATTTATTACTGGACTTTCTAATCTTTTTTTTTTTTTTTTTTTTTTACTCATGACTGTTACGGAACTTTAAAATTAAATTATACAGATTTATTAATCAGAAATTTTATTATGCAGAATCTCTTTTAAATTACTAATAAAGATAGTGGCATGATCTTACATTAACCTTTGGGTTAGATTAGGATTTAAGTCATTACAGTAAATAATATAATAGTTTTGGTAGAATTCGCCGACAATCTACCTAGGGCCCCGGATAATTATGGTATTATTAAACCGGACTTTTTTTTTTTTGGCCCAACCTTTTCTAAATTCTGGTCAAAAATAAAAATTAAATTTTAATTTTGGCCAGAATTTAAAAATTTTGGGCCAAAAAAATAAAAAAAAATGTCCAGTTTTAGTAATACCACCTCTTTTAGAATTCTTTTAGAATTATCCGGGTCCTATCTGCCGAAACTCGTAATGTAACCTACATAAATGTATAAATTTAATTAAAAAAAAAAAAGTAGTCGCATGACATTCCAAATGATTTAATTGGTGGGATATGACGGATTTGTAAATAAAATCCCGACCCAATGCGGACTAGCATATCGGGGGTTTGACTCTTCGGGATTTTTAATCGGTTCTTAGAAAAGAGAATTTTATATGAATTTTGAGAATTACCTAGATTGTCCACTACTTGATGACCTGTCTTTAATATCTTTACAGGAACAATCAAGGGATTTTGAAGCAGATCATTATAAACCATGCC